ATGATCCAATGATCCGATCTAAACCAAATTAGTAAGGGACCACCTTTACACCTTTCCTTAAAAAAAAAGAATTATAGAAATGGGTCAACGTGGTCCAAAGTTATGCGGTAACATCTATTTAAAAAAATATCTAATCCGACGAAGTGATAACCTCCTCTTTTTTGAATTCGATTAAAAATAGATAGATAAAAACTAACAAAAAAAATATTATTAAATAAAAAATAAATAAAAAAAGATAAACAAGAAAAACATGAAAGTATGTTTCTAGAAAGCCATTAATTAAAAAAAGTATTTTTCTTTTGTAAATAATACAATCTTAAAATTAAAAGAAAATTAAACTAGAAATGAAAAAATTAATTTAAAAAAGGTTAAATTAAATAAGTTCCTAAAAATTAAATTAAATTAAAAAAATATCATTTTATAATAATAACATCTAAAATTTAAAAGTAAATTAAATTAATAAGGAAAAAAATAATTAAATTAAAGAAATAAATAAATTAAATGAAATTAAATAAATTAAATAAATATATAAAAATTCGCCGAATTTGGATCTCTCGAATGGCACGCGCGTGCTCTGTTCACTCGGCCATTACGACTGTGGGAGCGGCGCGTGCTTTCTTTCGAAATAGATTTTCACCACGAGTGGTAATGGAGAGAGTTTCTTTCTAAGACTCTTGAGCTAGATTAACAAAAGTCTTTCGAACTATCTTGCCATCTGTCTTTCATTTGTCTTACGAAAGACTTTTTACTATCTTAGCCAGAATTGCCCTGTTAGAATACTCCTATACCCTTCCCGCATAGTTGAAAAAATCTCCAATAAAAATGCCCCCGCCCTAATCAACATAGCATATTTACATTGGAGTATTTGTTTTTAGAAAGTGTAAGTGAACATTGTTTGCTCTTTACTAACTAAGCCTAGATATTTATTCAACTATAAACACTTACCACCGCCACTGCCCGCACCCACACCAATATCAGTGACCAACGATAACAATGACATATTTTTCATGGTGGCTGCCTCAATGGAACGCACTGTCCGACTTGTGGCATTTGCTATCACATCTTCTGTGCCCGTGGTGACATTCGTCATGCGAACTGAAGTGGGCGCATTTTGCTTTTGAAATTGCATCAGTAGTTGCGCTAGCACGGCTGGTATGAGTGATCTGCGAAATGCAAACAAAGAAATTGCATTGGAGTATCGCTGTATGCATGTAAATTATTGTGCGATGCAGCAATTCATTTGATTTCCTCCATAAACTTACTTAATTATGATGTAAATGAGCGATATGATGCCATCAACTACGGCGGGTAGCCAGAATGTGCGAAGTATTGCATTACGCAGCAGTGGTCTGCGTCCTTTGCGATGTGCGCGCTCCACTTCACTGTACCATTTGCTGATGGGATAAAGACGATAAAGATAATGATGGAGTAGGAATTTAACTTAATTTAAGAATAATTATTTTCGCTTGTCTTCACTTCTCAAATGTCATACGAAATAATTAATTAATGCTGCTAATTTCTTACTGTCTTAAGAAAATATGTTTATTGCATCAATAGCTTTCGTTAGGACGAAGGTAATCTCCCTGAAGTATCAGAGTTCAGAGGCTCACAATTCGTATATGTACTTGTGGCCCATAACCAAAGATCAGGGTAACTTCCTTCAAGACAGAAAGACCTCGCACGCAAGCATTATAGTACCGCGTTCGGTCGAATGCACAATGCTTAGAGTTCTACTCCCAAGATGCCGTTACCATAATATACAGTGCTGGAAAAAATTATGGTAACATACAGCTTTCATATATTTTGTATTGTTTGAAGAACTCTTTCATTTTAAACACATTCCGATTTCGTACATTTCTTTTACGTTAATTAAAATCTAGACTTCTTTTGCAAGGGCAATAAGCCATAAATAAATTGTGGCCCCTTCTTTAATTTTGGCCTGGAAGATATAATAGAAACACAGTGTTATTTCTAAATAAACTAAGCTTTGAACTAAAAATTCTTACAAAAATATTATTGTTTTAATAGCTTATTGAATCGCCGCATTGCCTGATTACCTCTTCGCATATTCGGTGCATCGAATTGACGAAGTTTGCACAAACACTTTTCGGAATGGAATACCACGATTTTAGAATGTGGCGCCACAATTCGTCTTTATTGCTGGCTTTAAAAGGCCCGATTCTCTTCTTTAAGTCTGCCCAAAGGTGGTCAATAGGGTTGAGGTCTGGCTATTGTGGCGGCCACTCCATAGCCTGCACTGTTTCCTTCTTTAACCACTACTTTACCAGTTTTGATGCATGTTTAGGATCATTATCCTGCAGTAAATCCCACCGCAATGGCATTTCCTCTTTAGCATAGGAAAGCCTTATCGTCTGTAATATGTCTACATAGTCAAGCGCGCACATTTTGTTCTTAATTTAAAGTATTGGACCAACTCCTTCCTTCGGGAAGCAGCCCTATACCATAATGGAACTACCGCTGTGCTTAACCGTTTTTTTTTCGTGTGTTGTGGATCAAAGGCTGTGTTCGTAGGACGTTTTACGTACTATTTTCCATCTGAGCCAAACATATTACTCTTTGTCTCATCAGACTGCAGCACATTTTTCACCATTTTGACGAAAAAGATGTTTTCTGGCAAAACCAAGTCTGTTGTTTTTGTTTTTAAGGCTCAGCAACGGTACCTTTCTAGAGATTCTGGCTGAAAGTTTGGCTTCTGCCAATCTGTACGTCATGGCTTGGCTTGTTACATCTACATTCAATTCTGTTTTCAGCTTTCTTGAGGACAGAAGAGGGTTATCTTTGTAATGCCGAATTAAACGCCTTTGATCGCTAGCAGTAATTTTTCGCTTTGTACGTCGTGTTTCTGGTTTTTTACGCTATGAAGGGCAGGGAACACCTTCGTTTTGGAACAGCCCACCAAATCTACTATCTTACTCATCGAATTTCCTTGTTTTCTTAAACTTATTATTAAGTTCTTCTCCCCTTCCGTGCAGTGTTTAGCTCGGCCCATTTTATTCTTTTTAATGTTTCAATAACCTATAGTATAACTCTACTTTAGTTAACATTCTTTAAACACGCAATTAGAAGTGCCAAAAATAATTAATTTACCTTTTGTAAAGCACCAATATTAACAAACACGTTTTGTTTCTATTATTTTTTCCAAGCGCAATTATTCAATTGTGTACTCTCTCGCACATAAAGTGGAAAGGAGACAAATTAGCGGAATATAATGTTTTGCAAAAGAAGAACCTTTAACTGATATTTGTACAGGGTGCGCCATTCCAAAAAATATATATAACTTGTGTAGATATAATTGATTTCATATTTTTCAATAAGTTGTTTCTATTATTTTTTCCAACACTGCATATACGCCGACGTGCACCATTGTAGTCTCGGTTTACTTGCCATACGATTTCATACTCCGACCTCCTTCGCTGAGGATTATGGACATCGTTCAGTATGCCGAGTCGAATGGTTTGGGTCAAATAGAGGGTCTTTTCTGATGTTGCAAGAGTCATAAAAATTGTCCACTCCACGTTATCTACAAGATTGCTAACAAGGATGCCCTGAGGGCGATTGAGGAAGCGCTATTGACAGAAATGCTAGATTTCGATCACATCCTAGCTAACGTGGATGATGTTTGGTATAAGGACAGCCTTTCAGGGAAGTTTGTGCAGGGAACAAAGGATCCTAATTAATGAATGAATAGTGCGCTTTGCGGAGTATTATTTACAACTCTAGTAATTTTGTTCGCCTTGCTTAGAGGCGTAAACCTATGGTAAAAACCAGAGTGGAAACGAAGCCGAAGGTGAAACTGAAATCGCTAGCGATTCGGCTGCAGCTTCGATTCCACTCTGGTTTTAACCTAAGCCTTTTCACCAGAAAATGAGAAACGAATAAAAATCGCTCTAACCAAAACCGTAGCGTAACACTTGTAACGAAGCTGACAAGAGAGGCTCACATCAAACAGAAGGTAAATCGGGCGCTGAGAGTTTCCGGATAATGCGAACTTTAAGTAAGACTTGTGGTCTGAGGCCGACCACGACATACATACGCTGCTGTAGGATCCAATAAGGAGCAATCTTTTGGATTGTATCACGATGATAGGAGTTCAGAGCACAGATATTTCTTTAGAAAGTTGACAAATCCCTACCCTTTTTGTTTGGTCCCTTATGACAAACTGATACTTGGAGTGGCTTTTGGAAAGAAGAACACCCAACTTTCCTACGAGAGAGCCATGGACACAAGCACTTTCTAGGAAATCTCAGAACGCGACGGCTCTAAGATTGAAAATTGTACTAAAGCTTGATGGCATCTGGGGGGTATCTCCATAAACTGGGTCGAATGTACTGAAAAATGACAAACTCGGGACCCGTTGCAAATAACAATAGGCAGAGTTATTCCATTCCCTTCAAGAGAAAAACCTCAACTGATAATTTTTCTGAAAGTCTAGTTAAGGAGGCGAGTAATCTATTTTCCTCTATTTTGATTCTCTAACCCAACTATACGATTGCCTCAGGTTCCGACAGCCTTGCCCTTCTAACAAGGCACTAATCACTTAATTTCTTGATGGCGCGTATTTTTTAGTTTGATTCTAAGTATTTCATATTTAATTTGTATGCAATTTTTTTTCTTTTTTAGTATCTTTACTTACTTTTCTAAACGATCTCCTAAATCTTCTGAACAATCTTGCGGTAGGCACTGGGTTAAGTCATCGGTATTTAAACCTTGCTTGGACCCCTTATAGAGCAATGGTATGGCCCAAACAAAAAGTAATTGCGAAAATATATTGGCATGACGGCGAGGATTTAATTTTTCCGGCTTGCGTGAGCTGTCCATTTTGCGTCAATGATCACAGTATTGCTAAAGCTGTAATGAAAAGAAAAAAAGTGAATAAAAACTATAATTGAGTTCGTTTCCATAATGGCATCTTTTTATGGTATAATTACAGTAGAAATTCGAAACTACGGAAATTATTATATGTACATACACATACTCGCAATTAGGAACACTACATAAGATAAGTTAAACCAAATAACTCAAAGTTTCCAACCTTGTAAAAGATTTATAAAAATTAGCCATTTAAAAAAAAAAACGGTCACCAAAATTTCAAGTTTTTAATCAAAACTTCCAAAAAAAAATTCGGGTATGTAGTTCAAATTTTGTGCAAGTTTCGTGCGGCTAAGGATTCGCATCGATTTTTGATAATCTCTTTTTTGCTGACGTACATCTTTTCGTATCCGAAAACGAACAGAAAACGACTACAATAATCTTTTTACTTTCCAAAAATGTTCAAAAACAGTGCGGCTTTCGTACCCGGAAACGCAAAGGAAACTTCTCGAAAGAGATGATGTTATTTGAAAGCAATAATTATATTTTATTTTTTCAAGCTGAACATTTGAACGCATAAGCAGAGGCGCATTTCACAACCACTTTCGGTACTTTCCTGTTCATGCGTTTCTGCCGCACAATTTAGTGGGAAAAAACGGATCGTCAAAGTATCCGCAAATGGAATCGGTAAAGGGACAAAAATACGCATTTCATCAAATTTTTTCCTATTTCGGTAGCGTTTTCGGGTTTTTTGCTGACTGAGGGTGGTACGGCACAAGTATGCATGTACATATATTCATTAGGGTGTTTCAAATTTAGGCGATATTTTTTTTCTCTGTGCTACCTGAAAATCTAATACTTTATAGATAAATAATAAAAAGTTATGCCGTTAAAAAAAATTCTAAGTGCATTAATTTTTTATTTTCTATAAAGTATTCGATTTTCGAATGAAACATACATATTGCTGACGAACCCATGCAGCCTTATCTTTTTTATTCAAGTTTAAGATTTTACCTCGTTAGTTATCATCAAAATCAAAATACAACATAATTAACAAATGAAGAGGACTTTATGATTAAACGACTGCTTAAAGTTGTGTGACTTTTAAAGTGTGTACTTTAGACTGTGTCACAAAAAAAAAAATCAAATTGTTTTATTTGTTTCGGCAAGGAATGGCAAATCTTCGAGTGTATTTCTACCTTTCTACCATGACAAAACTTCTTATAAAACAATTCGAACGTTGCAGTATAGTTAGAAGTTCGGCTGCTCCATTCCAAA